AGTGTATAATTGAGAATAACCTTTCAACAATATCACTATTGCATTATAGTCATGATCACATTACTTTCATTGAATTCATAAAGTATGTACACAAGCATCATGATTATACGAATAATTTGCCCTTCAAGGATCATAAATCACATTTAACCTAACATCTAGAATTTCTACATTAGATAATGAGTAGTAATATAATTCAATCAATTCAATTAATCTAAATAAGACCCATTTACCTGCTTCTAAAATCAATCACCCACATTAAGATCACAATTTTGCAATTTAGGGAATCCATGGGTTCTTGGTGGAATTTCACCATAATTCAACCACAAATCATCAATTCAATCATAACCCATTATAATTGCACCATTAAAACATTTTTTTAAAAACCCATGCTAGTCGACTAAACCCTTCTTTTTGAGGAAAATTGTTAGATTTAAAATCAAGTTTTGAAGGGGCTCCATGGGGGGAGTCTACCATGGATGAAAACTACCATACCTTGATGATGACTCTTGAATGAATTTGATGAAAAACCCTTGATTTCTTCTAGTCCAAGCTTCAATTTTACTCTTCTTCTTGTTGGATTTTTAGAGAAAAATATTGTGAGGAAGATGAACTTTTGATTTTTATTCGGGTCTTTGTGAAATTGATCTAGTTTGGGTGTTTAATGACTTAAAAAATCTTATATACTGATTTAAAAATAATATAAAATATACCCATTTTAGTTGGACTAAAAATTAGAATTTACAAAATTGCTCCTTTTTGCCCCCCACGTGGATTGTCTAAAAAAACTAAGGCAAGTACCACGAGAGGCTCCCATGAGCCGTGATCCCCTCCATGGACTTGTGGCGTAAAATTTACTTTTCAAAGTAAATTTCCACGGATGGGTCTATCGTGTGCGGACCATTCTACTGGTAGTGGATACGTCCGTCAATCATTACCGTAGAAAAATTTTCACAAGGCTTGGGTTCAAGGATGGGTTCACCAATCCTTGGAAAAATTTTCACAAGGCTTGGTTTCAAGGATGGGTTCACTAATTGTGGACTCCACCATCTTGAACCCTTCCTTAGATCTCGCCTTTGAATATCTTTCACAATGCTTGGGTTCACCAACCGTGGACTCTTCCACCATCCTTGAACCCTTTCCTTAGAGCCTTGCCTTAAAATATATTTCACAGGGCTTTGGTTCAAGGATAGTTCACCGGCCGTGGACTCTTCCACCGTCCTTGAACCCTTCCTTAAATACTTGCCTTAGAATATTGTTCACAAAAATGGGGCTCACAGGCTGTGGACTCTTCCATTGATCTTGAACCCTTCCTTAGAACCTTGTTTTGAATATTTTTCACTAGTCTTAGGTTCACCGGTCGTGGATTCTTTCACCTTCCTTGGACTCTTCCTTGAACTTATACTTTGCCAAATTTTTGGGGCTAATTTAGGGTCCTCAAGACTCTAGTTTGGCCCTTGGGGGGTCGTACCTTGACATTTAGCCCTAAAAACATTATTCTAAGTGCAGGGAGTTATTTTACAACTCTAAACCACACATAAAATTCTAAAACTCTAACGTAAGGCTATAGTTTCACCTATCAATTTTTTGGATGTTACATAACACTATTTTGAAATATTTTAATTATTTTTAGGCGAATCCCCGTATCCATATCCATACATGGATCCATATCTCCGAATCTTAAAAACTAGATCATGAAGGATCCAACCTCCAGATCCGCACCCGTATAGGGTACAAGCACCCGAGTTCGAGCAACTTCGGTTATGGTGCTCACAAATGCATTAGGAAATTCAAATGTTCACGCCTGCTATACGCTATAGATATATATTTGTTGGTTATAGCTAAAAGGGGGCAATCATTTTGCAAGGGCTAGTGTGCAAAGATGGGTGGGGTAAAGAGTTGGATAAGTAAGACGTGAACTATGGTAGGGACAGATTCTATATTTTTGTTACAGGATCACATAGTTCAATCCATACTAAACTTAAACCTTGAGGGGGGTATTGGGTATGGGGGTGGGATAGACAAAGTTATCCCATGGATTGATACATTCCTCATGATTAGTTACCCCAACATATATATGGGATAACTTATCCCTCCCATGGATTGAGATATTCCACAGGATTAGTTATCCCACCGTATATATGAGATAACTATCCCATCATTATAGTATAAATGGTGGGATACATAATTCAGGGCCTAACTAATACCCCTCACCAAGTGTAGGATGAAATAATCCCCGAGATTATTCATTCTACCTAGTGTACGGGGAAGCGTGAAGAGGAAAAAAAGTGACACGGCCCCGCTTCACGCTTTAAGCGATGAAGCGCTCTCATACTCGTTCTAGTCCGTGAAGGGTAGAAGGCTCGCATCGCTTCGCTTCATCGCTTTTCCTGAACACTGTATTTCTACTATATCTCTCATACCAAACAACCGTTGGGATTTGTGTTGGTTTTTGTCTTTGGCATATCAAGGTCACCATTATTGCAATCATGTTGGTATTTCGAGTCCCTGCAGAGCTAATGTTGTTAGTGCATATGGGATCATGCTATAAACTATACTTCATTTTTGTTGATGAAGTTATATTTCATCAAGTCATCCAGTAGATGTAACGGTACAGAGGGGGGGGGGGACTGTCAGCTCCGTCAGAACAGAAAACTTATAGGGTCAAGGAGCTGACAAAATCTAGGTAGTGATCTAAGTTATTTTCAGGGGAAAAGTTGGCCCAACTAAAAAGGTTAACTAGACAACTAACCTTAAGCTTACAAATTGGAGTTAAAACTCCATCAAAATATCTCCTGTTTCTTTCATTCCAAATAATCCACAAAATACAAGCTGGGGTCGTGATCCAGATTTTCCTGATGGATTTTAGAACTTCCGTAGAGTTCCAACTAGTGTAGGATGCTCTGATATTGAAGGGCAGCAACCACTTTCATTGGAAATTCCATTTTAGAGTACACAGATGCGAGCCCAATAAAGTTGATTCCTGTTCTCTGTGTTTTGATCAGTCTACATATCCGCCCGCATTGGTCTCCTATTTTCTTGAAATTTTCAGTCGTCCAAGCATGCAAGGGGATCCCAAACGCCTTCACCCATCTCTGACCTGTGTCTCTGTGTGTTACTTCGGATTCAGCAGCCGGTGACTGCAAATTGAGAGTCAGCCTTCTTTTGTTCTAAAACCAATCACCATTTTTGACTCTTATAGTTTCCTGCTTGGAGTGTAGCTCGAAGAGAAATTTGTTGTGATTTATGGGAGCGACTCTAAGTCCTGCAATGATTTGCCATCTGTTGAGAAATCATTTTTGAATTATCTCTCGATTAGGGCTGATATTAAAAGAGTTGTTGAACGTTCTAACTATTCACTTTGCAAGGAAATTCTCCTTTTCTATTGCCTGAGACTCTGAAGATTTGTCAGAATTAGTTGGCCAATTAGTAATTTATGCTGCTTGAAAATATGATTTTACCTTTGAATCTGCGAGCTGAAATGGTGGATTAACAGCCTTCCCCAGAAATTTTTGATCTTCCCTGCAATATCTTCCCACCCCCAGGTGTAGTCATTCTCCGGGATAATCACCGATGCTTTTTTCTCCCAAGCAGAGTTTCTATCCTCACGTACCGGCCATATATGTTGAAATTTTGGATTACCCTCTATGAGTAACATTGGATCTTTCTTGCCCACCTTCTGCACCGATTTCCCCTTCCCTGCGAAGCTTCAAGGATAGCTTTACACGCGCAACACAGATTTGCTTCATTGATTCTGATGCTGCTAGTAAACCTCTTCCCACGTTCAATCAGAGTGAACCATTGATCATAATTTTCACTAGTGTTTAATAACTCAAAACATTTGTCGTCTGAAATAAAAAAATTATTCTCTCCCATATCTAGAAAAGAGAAAAGTCATCGGAGAAAGTTGACGGCAAAAGAATCAGATATATGAACCAAACAATTCATCTAAAACATCACCAGTCAATGTTTTTGTTCATCCATAAATCTGCTGCAGGAGAATTTGTGGTTTTTGATTATCCATTGGTAGTTTTTTTTGAGAGATCTATACTTCATCTCTCATCTAATGCAAACATGCAATGATATATTTACCTTGTATGGCTGGATCAACGATTAATCTGCCACATCCACCATTTAGTTATTCTTTCTGTGGCAGCATACTTCAATTCCATTTTTTATTGGGCAGATTATTTAAATTCTGCTGTGTAGTACTTGTGCATCATATAAGAAGGTTTTCTTTTAAGGAATTCTCATAATTTTATGTCTCAGTAGGTAAACACTCCTGAAGATTGTGTTATCTGGGGGTGGTTATTGGTAAAAAATTAGCACATCTTGGAAAAAGTATTTAACCTCTGTTGATGAACCTGCTAAATATATGAAGCATGTTGCCATCTGTTTTATGATACAAATTAACCTTTTGGTTTATGAAAAATTGAATTGGATCCCACCTTTTCTAAATCAGATTGTTTGCTTCATTTGGACTGGAAGTCTGGGACTATTAGGCTTAATTGGATGAGTGGAGACAATTTCTATAATGGTTTTCTCTTGCAACTTGCAACTTAATTCTGTCTGCTTTATATAATATGGAATTTTCATGTACTTCCTCTTGGAAGAGACATATAGCTGTAATCAGATATTATGGTCTCTGAAAGAATTCTAATGCTTGGAAAACTGATGATATTATGCTTGGATGATATTATTTTCTTTCTATTTGAACTCTTGAATCTTGGATAAAATAATTGTATTCCGGCCTTATATTTGCCAGCATGTCCTTGTGCATACCATGTCCTACCTGGCTTTTCGATTAATTTATTTTTGATATCAACTTCCTTTTGAATAAACAAAAACATTTTTTGTATTCACAAGTGCAAATTCAGGTCTACTTTAGTGCCACTAAAAATGTCAACACTAATTCAAAATGGATTACACTTTTGACATTTGTAAAAGTGATTTTGTAGTTTTTCCTGCTGTGATCTTTTGAAAATTTCTCCTGCTTTGAATAGGTGATATGTTCACTGAAGAGCAAAATGAATTGGTTGAATCAGCAGCAGAGATGCTTTATGGCTTGATCCACGTCCGGTATATTTTGACTAGCAAGGGAATGGCTGCAATGGTAATGCGTCTTATATATCAGGCTTTCAGTAATTTATGTGATTCAGTCTTACCTGCTTTTGTTAGCCCCTCTTCTCCACTCCTTTTCTTTCCATTGGTGGTGCTTATTTAACGTGCATCTTTTCAGAAAATGATTTCCTGGTAAACATTTTTCAGTTAGGGAAGTACAAGAACTACGACTTTGGGAGATGCCCACGAGTTTATTGCAGTGGACAGCCTTGTCTTCCAGTCGGTCAGTCTGATATTCCACGTTCAAGTACTGTAAAAATTTACTGTCCCAAATGTGAAGATATCTACTATCCACGATCGAAGTACCAAGGCAGTATCCTTCACTAATATAGCTTTTATGCCTTTTCTTCCTCATCACATTTCCTCTATAGCAGTGTTTCGAATGCAAAAAGCGAAAAAAATCACTGAAATTTATTGGGACTTCAAGGACAAACTGCATATTATGTGCTGCCTTTAATGGATAAAGGCTCAATTTGAAGGGAAAGATTAAAAATAATATATTTGTGGGTATTTATTGCTATATCTACTCTCTTCATGATAGAGCCCTTAGGGCAATGGTGCACATGTCTTGGCTCTATATAGTGCCTTCACTAGAGCGCGTCTTGAGCCAGGGGAATCATACGATGTATTCTGCAACCTAGTTTGAGGGATTAAGCATGCCACTGCCCGTCCTTTGACACCACTCCACTCTACTAGTACATTTATGTGGTGCTCAAGAACTTTTTTTGGTAGCTTGGGTTGATTTTGTTCCAAACAGTTTTATTTTGTTATTCTCTCCATAGTCCATAGTTCAAGTTGCGTTTGGACATGGATGCATATAAACATCAAGAGTAGTTTTGCTCATAGTTCGTATTATTGTTTGCTCCCTTACTGCGACTAAAATATCACTATTCCCTGGATCTGATTTCTTTGACTGACCAAGATATTGATGGAGCTTACTTCGGGACAACATTTCCTCACCTCTTTTTGATGACTTATGGACACCTGAAGCCGCAAAAGCCAACACAGAATTATGTTCCACGGGTATTCGGTTTTAAGATCCACAGGACTTGAGATTGAAGGTGCTCTGTGAAATGTGATGAGATTAAATAGTTTCCAGTGAATGGTTCTCACCTGACATTTATGTACAATTTATCAAGGTAGAACCAGGAAATGTTGAGTTGTTAATGTTCAAAATTGTTTCATTCATGAAAAAAGTAACTGTTGCCAGCCAATCTACCCCCTTAAATTTCTTTTGTAATCTTATTATTTCTTCTTCCACTTCTATTGACACCTGATTTTTCATGTAGTCTTGGCTCTGCTAATATTTGGATTTTACATTAGGATACTTTTGTGTTTCGCTCCACTTTTAGTAGGACCAATTCCAGATGGGATCGATAACCATTTCTAACCCAACACCAAATTTTACATCAAATTTTAAATTAGGCGTAAACTTTGGTGTTTTGAGCTCCACCGCACACCAAATTTAGCTAGAACTCACTTTTTAAATATTTTAATATTATCTTATTATACTATTTTTTAATTAAATATTATATAAATTACATGTTTTGATTAAATCTCTCGTATATTTAATTATTCTTTATACAATATTTTTATAATGTTAATTTTAAACATAAAATTTAGCTTTTTTTAAATTAATTTTTCTATACAGGCCATTTAAAATTTTTTTTATATTAATTCTGCTATAAATTATAATATATAAATTGTATGTTTTAATTAAATCTCTCGTATATTTAATTATTCTTTATGCAATATTTTTGTAAATATTAACTTTAAATATAAAATTTGGCTTTTTTATAAAGTAATTTTTCTATACAGGCCATTATAAAAATAAATAAATAAAAGTTATGTTAATTTTGCTAAAATTATAATTGGACATAACTACAATTAACTTGTACAAAAATTAAAAATGCAAGCATATACATTTTTAAACTAAAAATGCAAACATACAAAATTTTAAATAAATAATACAATGTACTTAAAATTAATAGAAAATAATAAACATTCAACAAGTGATAATTGACATTCACCATGAATTATATTTGACGAATAACAAATAAGAAAATATAAATGAAATAAGAAATAATATAATAATAATGAAGAGAAAAATATTTCTTTTTGGCGTAAAATTTGATGTAGTGAGTTGCGGACAAGACTTTTTAATTGTTAAAAAGAAAAGAATTATGTACACTCACACGCACGTGCACGCGCATGCACGCATACACACATACGTATCTTACTTCAATTAGGGGTTTGTTTGGAAAGCTTTTAAATAATTGAATTAGCTTTTATTATTAGGGTAATAACGCGTGCGCGCACACACACGTATCTTACTTTAATTAGGGGTCTGTTTGGAAAGCTTTTAGATAATAGAATTTGTTTTTATTATTAGGGTAATAAATACTAATCTAAGAATTATACAACCTCGTAATTATGATGTCTTGTTTGTTTGCCATAATGTCATTATAGTGTAATTACAAGTTTACTCATAAGGTTATTTTTAATTTTAAAAATAAAAATTATCTAAAACTAAAATTTAAGGCCTTTATAAATGATATTAAATTGAACATTTAAGATATATACTGTCTTTCGAAAATATATTAATTAATAAATATATGTTCTAATTTAATATAATAAAAATAACTGTAACACAAAAAGTGTCACGACCGGGGAGCAACCCCTAGAAGCAATAAAACATACTTGACCTCTCAAAAGTCTTATACAAGCCCTTACACATCTTTCATTCCATTGTCATATATTTAGCGGAAAATTTAAAATTTTTTCATAACATAATATAATGCTAAGAACATCATTTCATTTAAAAATCATAAGTACATAGTTAAGACATGAAGTCTCGTCTTGCCATCTTAAGATACACTCCAATAGAATAGAATAGAACAGGGGCACGACACTTAACAACATAAATGAATAATCTATACTATTACATGAACTTAATTTCAACAATTGACATGAAGACCCTTGAAGCATTAAGGACACACTTGAACTCGAGAATAACTATCAAAGCTCTTCATTCTAAGAAAAATCCTCTAGCCATCACCACCTACACTTTGTGTAAAAAGATGAATAAGAATGCACTAAATATGATAACCATGCAAAAACATGAGTTAAAGAGGACATTTAGCTAGAAACCATGCATCATGTCTTTTAGTAAAACTTCATGGACATTTGATACAATAAGCACAATATAGTTCACATACATTACATACACATGGGTACTATTCACAACAACACATAAATTCATTTATCTCATTAACACACATTCAATATCTTCATAGCATTGCCTTTATTTTTACCTTAACTTATTCACCCAAAGCAAATCTTAAGTAATGCTTAGTTCACTGCATGAATGTTGTCCCATTCATATCAAAGTATCACATTTAAGTTTCCACCTCATGAGAGAATTTGGTTAACCTACCTTACTTTTGGGTAGGTACACCTTATTTGGTGAACCTACATTCCTTTTGGTAAGGGACACCTCTCATTGTCAAGTTCTGCTAAAATAATTTTTCCTTTTTGACAAGACTTTGAGTCTTTATTAGACGTTAGAGTATAATATTATAAGGACCCCAAAATGATTTAGGTCCAAAATAGAGCCTATCAGGTGTATCGTGAGCTTATAATGTCTTAAAATGACTAATTTTAGTGTTAAGAGGCACTATATAGAGTTTGGAAGGGTTTGGAGGTCAAACATCCAAGAACGTCGAAGATGTTTGGAAGGGTTTGGAGGTCAAACATCCAAGAACGTTGAAGTCGTTCGAAAGGTTAACATTGAGACGTGATTGCGTGCTTTAGTATGTTTCATGAAGTTTTAAGTAGTGTTTAGAGCTCAAATTGATAGGAAAGGTTCCTAACATCTAGTGGATGTATTTCAGGTGGAAACATTGGGGCACGAATACCCAAGGACCACCCAAGGGTTCCTTGAGGAGGACCCAAAATGTAGACAGTGCACTTCCTTGGCAGTGTCAAAGGACGACAAACAATCAACGCCCCGTCACTTGAGCTACGTACCGTCAATTGGGCGCATCACTCCACACTTAGAAGTGGGAGTTGAGACCCCAAAATGGGACTCTATGAAAGGAACGAGGGACCTACAGTGTGGCACAATCGTTCCATTGACAGTCCATCGACTGTAGGCATCGATTGGACCTACAACTTTACTGCATCACACTGCCAACTAAAGGGGTGAATGAGAAATTCACCCCACTTCCAAATAAATGCATAGGCAGTTAAATTAGGTGGTTTTAGGTATTTTAAGAGTATTTAAACAACAAGATACCTATTTAGACATTAGACTCCAAGATAAAAACCTTTCCCTCTCCAAAACTCTCTCAAGAACACCATATAACAAGAAGAGAAATTGGGAGCTGCTCTTAGAAAATTTCACCAAGGATTCAAGCTGGTATTAAAACTCTAATATAAGGTATATGAAGATAATTTATCCATCAATTCTTCCATTCATTGAGTCCCCTAGTTTTCCTCAATTGTGAATCCAAAAAACCCCAATCTAGAGAGGGTTGTGATTACATTGTGGGTAAGGCTTGATTGTGATCCCAATCTAGTGGGTAGCATTCAATTATGTTCATATGATTATTATGTAATTTTTTCATAAGGTTTTCATGGTGAATTGTAGTATTTGATGTTGAAGGTGATCATGGTCATTTTAGGCCGTTAGAGACAAGATGAAACTTCTAAGTTGATCTTCTTAATTCAATTGTATTGTCACCTATTTTATCATGATTGAATAACCTAGATATGAATTGAAGTAGGCCTAATTGATCAAGGATGGTCTTGCTTTGTAAAGTTGGAATTGAACTTATGTGATCATGTATGCCTAAACTTACCTTCTAATGATCAAATTTAGTGATTTAACTTGTGATTGAACATGGATAATGATGAATTGGGGAGAGTAATAGATTGTAGGGCTTGTATGTCATTGATGGTAGGGATTTGGGGTGAAGTCATTATGAAGGGATTGTGATGATGTTTTCTTTGGATTTTACACTTAGACATGAACAAGGTAGGGGAACAAGTTCTCTCACATAGATAGATTCTAGGTTGACCTAAGAGCCTAAAATGAATGAAGACATGATGAACTAGATTAGCTTGACAATGGATTGTATGATCACTTCTTGTGGAATATACTTGATGAGATAATACCAAGGTATGATAAGGTTGAGATAGTGGATCTCATGATAGCTTGAGATAGTAGGTATCAAGGGTAACCTGGGATAGTAAATCTTAAGGAGGCTTGAGTTGAAATACTCATGGTATCTTGAGATGTAGAGTCTCATGGAAGTATGAGATGAATTACTCATCGTAGCTTGAGCTGATAAATCTCATGATAGATTGGGATGGAAGAAGTAAGCTCTCCCATATTATCTTGGTCTTGTGTTGCTAGGATGCTTGATCATTATAGATTGACTTGGATTGGCCATGTCACACCCCGAGCTACCCCTGAGATGCGAACACGAAACCTAGGATCACAAGTGGTTCGAAGCTAACACTGCTGGCATGCATGAGCATACTAAAGATAATAAACTAAATGCGGAAGTTAAATCATAATTTAAACTAAAAAGAGGGGGAATATCCATATTCTATAACTGAGATCACTAAAAACAATGAGTTTAATACAAAGGAGATATTAACTCAATACTAAGCTAAAACTAAGTATGTCTGAAATAAGCCTCTAACTGACTAGAAATGCTGGGACATTCCCCAACTAATTTTAGCAAAAACTGAAACTAAAGGACTAAATGACTAAAACGAACTCATGAATATTGTCCTCGGAGAATGAGGACTCACCACTGAATCTGCAAAATTGGAGATCAGGAATCGAGCTATGCGTGACATGGATGATGAGAACCTGAACCTACATCACGAGAAGATGTAGAACATGTATGAATCAGTACTTGAAGGTACTGAGCATGTAGGATAGAGTAAAACTGAAAAAAACATAACCGAACAAGCACAAAACCAAGTATAATAATCTAAACATGATGTACTGAATTCTAAGCTAACTGGATGCAACCAAGTTTATAACATGCTGAGACTGAATTATAACTGAACTATAAATCTGGTCAACGCATTAGAGTCTGACTGATCAGTGGGAGCTATTAATAACCGAGAATAAAACCAAATGAGCTAAATGTGGAGTTCGATGTATACGCCCTATTGA